TTAACAACTGTCTTAGCAACAGAAATTTGGGCTTAATTGTGGTTCTAAATTGAGGATTACCTATAGTCTACAATTTGAACCTGAAGCCTGAATATGACATTTGACACTTTCACTGAGCCATCTCCATGCCTTTATGTATTAATGTTATATATTACAAACAAATTGAATGCTTAACTGGAAAGTTAAGCCAAAGGCTTTGATTTTTCACTTTCCTTGCCACCAATCATGAAACTGCTGCTGTGCTGCCTGAGAGCCTGAAAGGATGATGACTTGATACGATTGTGAACTGCACAGAAGAGCACGTAGTTTATTGTAAATAAGCTTAATAGCCAAAACCTTGAGTAATTACATTGGCACGCAGCAATTAAAGCTCTGTGGTTTAGCCTATCAGGGTAACAGTAGCCTTGATCGTGTCTGCTGCACATGCTGTACTGTGGGTATCAGTTCATTCATAACTTGAGTTATTTATTATATACTCCTTGTGTTTATGTATGAGTGAGTAAAACAGTTTTATCAGTTATTTTGTTTCTGTGGCACGTGTGGGTTTGTATTTGCACATAGTGTCTAAAATAAACTTGTAGGAGAAAAGTATAAATTCATACTAGGTTTTTTTCCCTTAGGTATCTGATCCCTATTGTGCTGTGTGCTTGTGAAATGGGTAAACGTTCTCTGTGTATTTAATCCATTGAGTCTACAACCTATATATTAGCTATAATCTGACTTGGGCTCATTGTCTTGAGCTGTCTGCTCTGCATTTAATAAAAACAGTTTTTCTCTTTTGCTTTAGATTCTCTGATTTTATCAAGGACTGTTTTCAGCCGATCAGTGAATCCATGAGAGAAAATTTAAACTGAGGTAAAATAGTCAGATACATAAACAACATCTGTAAAGAATGAAGAGACTTGTGGCTACTTAGCTAAATATGCTGTGATAGAAAAGTGCTGACTGGCAACGTTGTGTTCATGTTGAAAGGAACATGTGATAACATGCTGTCACTGTTTCTCTGCAAATGTGATGGCAAGCAAGATTAAATAAACTATTTTGAAATGGGCTCATTCTATATTGTCTTTGTTAACTTCTTTTGATCTTGGCCGGTTGGTCTTTTTCTGTTAGACTAAGAAACGGGATATTAATATTTCCTTTTCCTTTCCCCCCCCTCCTTTTCTCTTCAAGGTATGTCCCTACAGAATTGGCTAAACAGCATTTGACCTTTCTGACTACCAATCCCCATCCGTAAGTGAAGACTACCATAGGTCCAGCTCTAAAAACCAAATCCTTCTCCTCCTTCCTGATTTGTCCTCAATCAGCCACTTACTAAGAAGGAAAACATGAGTTCCAAAAATGAATCAGGTAAGTAAAAAATCAGGCAAAAATGGCTGAAAAAGTGGGTAGTTTTCTTGGGTTTTATCAGGTTGGAACAAAAAGATGTATGGTTTTGGGCTGGTGAAGATGTGGCTATTTCTGATTCTGTTAATGAAGGTCAGAGTTTCACTTGGGAATTTGCATCTCTTTATACTTTGCAGTAATTTAATTGATAATGTGTTTCAAACTACATGTGGTTGCTACACTTACTACAAACTACCTGTGGTAACTACCCCAATCTGTCCTTGGTTTGTTGTAAGGAGTAAGGAGGTTGAAAGTTTCTATCTTTTCAGTGCCATGCTAAGCAGGCTTTTTACTTAAACACACACACATAGACACACACACACAAACACACACACATAGACACACACACACACACAGACAAGCATTAAAAAAAATACATGCACCAATGATGATTTTTTTCAGAATAATTCAAAGTAATCTCTTGTGGTTAATTATGAATGATACATATGTGCTAGAAATACATACATTAGTGGTGAATCAGTGAAAGTGTTGATGCGGAAACAGCCTCAATGATATTAGAGTATAGGCAGTCCTTGACTTATGACTACAATTGGGATCAGACTTTCTGTTCTGCTAAACAAGATAGTTAAGTAAGCCTGACTTTATGAGCCTTTTTGTCACGTTAAGCAAATCACTATAATTAAGTGAATTACATGATCTTTAAATAAATCTGGCTTCCCCCAATGTTTTTGCTTGTCAGAAGCCACTTGTGAAGGTCACAGACGGCAATCACATGTAAACACCCTCCCCCCCCAAACATGCTGCCACTATTGTAAATAAATGCTGGTTGCCACATGACTATGGGTCAGGTGATGGTTGTAAGCATGAATACCCATTGTGTCACTTTTTTCAGTGCAGTTTTAATTTCAAATAGTAGATAAATGAATAGTTGTAAGTTGCATGGTGAAGTATAAAGAAAAGTGTGACTTATTTGTCTGCTTGACTCCCACTATATTGTATATCAGCTACAGTAAATAGAACAGCACTGCAGTTGCATTGCTTTTCATAAAACTCTTTGCTAATTTAGTGTCCCTTGGAGATGCTGGGGTGATTCACTGCTGTTTGGGAAGTTGTGGTCCTAATAAATTTGATTGAGATCATTTGGGGAAGGCTGTCCAACCTCTATGTACATTTCTCATTTCCTTATTGCTTTTCAGTTTTAGACAAAATGGTCCTTTCCCGTATACATTCTTTATAATTTGCTACATAACAAAGCTTGCTATTTGCTTTTAGCTTCTAATTCTTGGTCAAACATGAATTGCAAGTAATGCCTGTTTAGGAAGAATAAGGAATACTTTTGGACATCACTTGAAAAGAATTTTGTAGGATGAGGAATATACTTAAATTTCATACATTATTCACAAGTAATTAATATAATTTTCCTGTAGAAAAAGAACAAAAAGGAAGAAGTGTTCTCTCAAAATTTTTATTCAGAAGAGAAGAAAATAGTGCTATTCCTAAAGGGTGTATTGTGTTCAAAATCCATTGTGTGAGAATAAAGGAATGCAGCTTTGCTAATAAAATACTTTTCTTTAGTATTTTTTTATGTTCATGCATAATTTTAAATATCCACAAGATTGTTTCCAAAATCATGAAGCAAGACCAAAAGGTGAGTTTAAATTGTGTTATAAAAGTTGCTGTGAGCATTAAAAGTTACACCCTATAAAGCATGGTTAAATGAAGAATTAGTAGAGAAACATTTGGAAAAAAAAACAGCAATTATATTTAGAGTTCTGCATGCTGTATTTTGAAAAGTACATAAAAGTAAAAATAATCCAATGAAATGTGCTGTAATTAGAGGGATATATCTATCTCTTTGATGGAGTACCTAAGTTGAATACTGTATAAATGAAATAAGTCATTTAAATTTCATTGACTTTCAGGCAAACTAATCTTTCCAGTTGTTTCTGATTTCAAAATGTCAGTGACTATGCTAGTTAGAGATTACTGGAATCAAACACATCTAAAGAAATTTGAGAAAGCCATTCTAGGCTGAAACTGCTCATCTATTGTCAACCTCATAAGAGGTTTTTTTTTTTTTTTAACTTGGCAAAAATTGCAGAGCAGTTCCTGATCCTAAGTCTTAAAATATAGTGCATGATATAAAAAATCAATATGGAAGCCATAATGGTTTGACCAGAGCTTTGCAATATACATAAAAATAGATGAAGCTTCAATTACACCATCATGGTGTACATCTTGACTTATTTGACCATATCTTGCAGTCACTTCTGATACAGACTAATATATTAAGCTTTCTTTTGAAAGATTGGATGCAAATATTTGTGCAGGGGGCTGGACAGATAAACATAAGAAATGCAAATCCCCTTGGCTAGTAAGGAAATGAAGAAAATAAATGAATTCTGGCTGATTACAGAATTACCTAGCTCCAAAATACCTGTTTCATATAATTGAGGGTTAAGGGCTAGGGCTGAGAAAATGCTCTGTCTGGGTAGAAAGAATATGGAGTTGTCTGTCAGGATATAACCCAATGTGAGTTAGTAGAAAAATTGAAATTCATATAATGAAACTAAACAGCTTCCTCATAGCATCATTCCTGGATAGATTCAGCTAAGATATGATAGAAGTGTTCCTCTTATACTAGAGTTGGAATAAATACAGAATGAAGAACTGGTGGTGCTAAAATAGGGAATGAGCTACTTGGGATCTATGTAGAACGTTTAAACTTTACAGTGTAAGGATAATTTCTGAAAGCTGCTTCTGATAGAGGCATATACAATTACGCATACGATTGAATAATAATTATTATTTTATTTCAATCATGGGTTGAAACATTAAAAAGCCTGCTCTCAATTCTCTGGTCACTTTTCTTTTCTACAGTTTTTCTTTTCTACAGTTACTAATTTAATTAATAAAATGTTCCCTATAGTTTGCACATTTACTACATATATCTATTTACGGTAATATCTGTTACTACAGAAGTTTTTGGACCTCTTTAGAGGCAACTTCTGAAAACTCACTGTTGGGTGTAGAGTATCATTAATAACTCAGGATAGCTTTAGCTTATTACTACATTCCAAAATTCAGTTCAAAAGGTCCACATTTGGACCATGTGATTTTTGAGCTAATAAGACAAGGAAGTTAATGGTGGAATAGGAGCAGTTTTTTACTTCCATTTCCACCCTTATTTCTTGGGAGGAGAGAGAGTGTAATGCCAAAAATTGACCACTGCTGCTGGTTTTCAGCAGTTTGATCTTAATTGCTGGTAACCTGCAAGTGATTGCCAGTCCTTGCCTTAAATAGCAGATGGAAACTATATAGAATGCTTTCTGGATTATTTCGGCCTTAGTCACAGATTGCCATGGACTCCAGACTGTTTTCAGCCCACTTGTAGATGCCTTTGTTAATTTTACTGTTGATTTCCACATTAACTGCAGAAGACAGTATGATATCCGTGATCTGTATTATGCAAAAGTATATTTTCAAAGAAAATATTTACTTTTTATAATAATTTTTGTTAAAAATTTAATAGTATAAAAATAATGAAGTAGTACAAACTAAAAGAAGTACGTAAAAATGCAGGGAAAAGGGGGAAAAACATTAAAAAGAGAAACATTTTAAAAGAAATGACTTCCCCCTGTAAGATAATTACATACAATTTCAAAAATTTATTATTTTCTCTGACATTTAAATCCAGGAATTCTTCTTCCCATATCTCATCTCTTATCTATAAAGAAATTATAAAACCTCATTATTCAGTCCTAATCAGCAAAAGTCCATTAAGAGTTACCATTAACTTCATCAACTTGATCAATTTCATATTCCTTTATTTTACTTTTAGCACAGTAATATATTTCTCTCAAAATACAAAATAACCTCTCTTCTTCTCAAATCTTATCTAGTATTTATAAACAAATCTTTAGAGATTCATTTCTTGTACCTAGTTAAAAAAACCATTAAAAACTATCAGAAACAACAACATATTAAGAATCTTCATATTTAATCCCTTCAAATTGTGTCCCACAAATTATTTCTTATTGTTTTCTTTCCCCCCCCCCCCCCCCAAAAAAAAAATCCCTTCACAAGTTTAATACATACCAGAAATAGCAACATCTATATTTGGTGGTGGCACAGTGGTTAGAATGCAATATTGCAGGCTAACTCAGCCCACAGCCAGGAGTTCGATCCTGACTAGTTCAAGGTTGACTCATGCTTCCAGCCTTCCGAGGTTGGTAAAATGAGAACCACATTGTTGGGGGCAACATGTTGACATTTGCACTCTGAGTATGCTGTAAAATACAATTGAGTAGTGAATAAATGCTATTGCTATTTATATTTAAACTTTAATAAAATAAACCAACTTTGTACTTTCCTTTTAATACCATACCTATCACTTCCCTCTGAAAATAAAACAAAAAATCTATTTCATCGATTGCTCACTTATCTTTTGTAGATCTCCAAAGCTCACACTGGGGAAGGAGAACAGACCACTTGACCCTTGGCACCCCTGCAGGCCATGTAGGAATGGTCCTAGAAGTGGGTCCCATTTTTAAAGTAGCCACAATTCATTGTAGCTTCTTCAAAAATGGAACCTGCTACTAGGACATTGTCATAGAGTCTAGAGAAGCCAAAAGATGGAGCGGTCTCATCTTCCTAAACATGAGCTACAAAGATAGCTTTGTGGGGACCCAGCAGCTGTGTCCCCCTCATCCCCAAAGCCTAAAGGGAGCCAGTGGGAAAGGGGAGGGAGGAGAATGCAGCAGCATCCCTACAATCAATCATACAGGTGAACGCACCTAAATTTTGTGCATGTAACCATGCGGGAAGCTGCAGCAGCTATAATTTTGAAACCAGGCCATAAATAGCTTTGGGGGAGGGAAGGTCTGTCATAACTTCAGTAGTTGTTAAATTGCTACAAGTAGTCCTCGACTTACAACCATTCATTTAGTGACCATTTGAAGTTACAATGGCATTGACAAAAACGACTTATGGCTGTTTTTCACATGACCGTTGCAGCATCCCATGGTCACGTGATCCAAAATTTGGATGCTTGGCAACTGGTTCATATTTATGATGGTTGTGATGTCCTGGTATTGTGATGTCCATGTGATCACTTTCTGATAAGCAAAATCAATCAAGTGAAGCTAGATCCACTTAACAACTGATTTTACACACTTAAGAATTGCAGTGATTCACTTAACAACTGCGGCAAGAATTCACTTAACAACTGTCTTACTTAGCAACAGAAATTTTGGACTCAATTATGGTCATAAATCAAGGATTACCTATATCAGACTTACAAGATTCAGTTAATGAAGCCTTGTCATAAAACAGAATTGGCTCATTTGGTTTTGTTCCCTATCTAATTTATTTCGGAAGGCTGACATTGGCTGTGCTGAAAGAGAAGCTATTTTCAGTCCACCATGCTTCTCTGGATGTCCATTTTCAAACAAAATCTTAATTCAAACAATGCATTTATGTTTTCATAAATTGGTGGGTGATTTAATTTAGTTTATTGACGAAAGCTCTGCGTAGTTTTTCATGTTAAGGACTAACAGATCTTTGTGGGGACTTTAAAGCTGAACATCTTGATGAGTTGTACTTCAAAAGGTTTCTTGGAAGCCATGCATACTCCAAAATGTGAGGAAATTGATTGTGGTTCCACCAGCAGCATATGGTTGTGAAAATGCCTGATTAGAAGATGAGATCCAAGTCACAGCGCTTCACATTCCTGTCCAACCACAAGCTCATTGATTGATGCCAGTCCTCTCCCCCCCCCCCATTAATTTCACAAGATTATAGCTAAAACTGGCAAGGGCTAGATTCTTGACCCTTTTTTTACATTGTAAATATGAAGTTATAGAGCACTTTGTACATGTTCAGAAGCATTCTTTGGTTCTGGTTGTTCTGAAGGCAAACCTTTCTGGTTAGTTTAAGATTTCAGGCTTCAACCTAAGATGAACTCATTCAGATACTTATTTTTTCCCTGTTAATTTTGTATGTAGGAAAGATGGTATGTGCTGGTTTTCTCTTTGAATCAGTTCTTGATACCCACATTAAAAACCTATCAACAAATACCAAGAAGTGCAAGATGGCAGTTGAATGGTTTCCATAGCAACACCACATTTCTGTCTAGTTCATTCCCAGTCACAAGCAAGCCCTTTTCCCTCTTTACGAAAGCTAGATCAACTGGAATACAGCCTCTTTTGTTGCCGCTGAGCCCTGTGGATTTAACTGGCATGTCTAGATATGTTCAGGTGAAGTGAGGACTTTCTGTCTGCTTGTTTGGGTCCCTCCCCCCCTTTTTAGTCCTCCCTACTACAGTTTTGTATTATACATAGTGGGAGAAAAAAGCTTCCTATTTTCCTGAGGCTTTTTTCTCCTGTGTTTGGAATGTTTTCCATAAGCTTACATTGACACTTGCAATAATGCAAAATGGAATCTATTGTTATTATTATTTGTTTGCATTAGAAAAAAGCTCAAGGAAAGAGGGAGTGAGCCTTATGCTGTGTTGAGTAATTCTACCTACAGTAAATCACACTTTTTTCTTAAATACTAAAGTGTATCAGAATGTTCCAGAGTATGGCAACAGTACATGTTTCTCATCACTAGTTGGGAGCTGTTTGATGACAGTACACAGACTTTGCATACAAGAAATCTGAAGTCTATTGTCCGTGGAGTTTTCAGATAAAAGGATCATGAAAAAAAAATTTGAAAAGACTGCGCTTAAAATTGTGGGAGTTGATAGCAAAGTGAACGAAATAATGTAATTTTGCAAGAGCATTGCTATAGGTACTCCTAAGGCAAGAATATTACTGAACTACAACTTGTAGCATCATTCACTAAAGCTTCTGGGAGTTGTAGTGCAGATACCTGGAATACCTTAGTTACTCTGCTGGAAAGCATAGCTCAAGGCCACAGAATTGTGCCTAGGGAGAAGAGCTTGCAAAGAACCTCCTAATGTGTGTGTATATGGAATTTAATTTTTATCACTTTTGTCAGCAGTCTAACTTGTTTCTTTTATTAATGAGTATTGCATTAATGAATATAGGTGAGAGAGGCATAAGATATACAGCATTGTGAAGTATCATTTGATAACTACATTTCAACTTTTTCATGGATGTTTAAGACCTTTTGCTGTGAATTGTTTTCAGTGCTTATGTAGGTGGATGGAAAAGTACTATTAGCATGAATTAAATCAGTACGTTTCTCCCATCATGGAATAATAAAATTGCTTGTTAAATGTTTTACATTTTTATTTGGTTTCATTTTGCAAAGCAAAATTCCTACATGTCTTGCCAAAAGCAACATAAGAAATTTATTCTGTACTCAGCATGCCACATATTGTGGATTGGAGTAAGGGAGGGATGATGAAAACTGTACTCCAACAATTAGAGACCTAATCTTTGGAATATTACCTTTTATACTAAAATTCAGCAGTAGAATTTGTAAGCCAGAGCTTAAGTCTTCAGTACACTTAAAGTGTTGACATTTTCCTGTGTAAATAAATTAACAAGACAGCACCAAATTCTCCCCACTCAATTTGATCCAGAGTTGAAACTCACTTAGAGGGGTAGAACATACCAATTAAGACATATGGCCAGTTTGTGCTTCTTAGCAAATCTCAATATAGTTTAGCACCTCCAAGAGCCACTTTTTCTATGCTGCATAGCTGATCATTTGGGAGAAAAAGAAATAGTTCCCTGAAGCAGAAAAACAATTTATTTCAGAATTGCTGGTCAAAAGATGAAATCCCTCCACTTCCATTACCAAGACATTTGGACATAGTAAAATATTTGGGGATGGGAGCAGTGGGACTGTGGCAACTGTGTCTGTTGTCTAATTTTTTAGTCAGCCTTCAAGCTAAATAATTTATAGCATTTTTCCTTTCCTTCCTTCAGTAGCATCTCTGTGCAATACAGTGAGGAGCACTTTTCTCAACTCCAAATTTATTGGACCATTCAAGCAGAGGCCTGAAAAAAACCCCATCTTTATTCTCTTCCCCCATATTGGCTAACTTTGCCTACCATCTCTTAGGCTACAAAGATACTTTGCAATATTTTTTTAAAATGATATTCATGAGAAAGAGGAAAAAATTCCCATCAAACTCCATTGTCATTCACAGTGCTTTTTTAACGACCAACTATTTTGTCATTTTGTTTGTTCTAGATAAAAATACTCTGCTTCATATTTGAATATCAAAATTCCTTATCAGGCAAAAATAAAAACATTTGAATTTTATTTTGGCAATCTGAGTTTATTTCATATGATTTCATGAAGAATCAGAGGTCCTGAAGGAAGTAGGCTGTAATTAAGTTGGACTCTGGGGAATGACAAAAAATTGTTGCCTAAGTCAATTTCTAACCAATTCTTCCCAAAGTCCAAGAACAAACAAAAAATAATATTAAGCTTCCTTAACAGAACTGTGTATAATTTTCAAAGAAAGCACTTCACAGCATCAGGGATAGGGGTGGGTTCTACTTACCTTTATTACTGGTTCGGAATGGGATCGTGCGTGCATGCTTGCTTCGCTCACGTGTGTGCCTTGCTTTTGCGCAGATCGCCGATGATGACATCTGGGGCGGTGGGTGGGGACTCCTGCTGGTTTTACTACCGGTTCTTGCGAATCGGTCTGAACTAGGGGCAACCCCACCACTGATCAGGGGTATAAACAAAGCACATTGTTTGTATTGTTAAGATAACCACATTGCTAGCAAGGCTGCTTTAGAAGCTGTTCCTGGTTGTTTCTGTGAATGAGTGTGTGCACATGTACGAGTTCATGAAGTGGTTGCTTTAATGATGAAAAAGAGGCACTTCATATGTGCTTCCCTGCCTACAAAGCACTTCTTGCATTGATTATGCATAGCCTTCCCTACTAACTTGTAGGGGAAGAAATGGGAAAAAATATTCTATGGGGCTGGTTACTTAATGAGAAGTGCAACTTTGTAGACTGCTGCAAACACCACTAGGTGGTGCTGCTCAAATCTGGATGGCAAGGGCAAATTATTAGGAGGTGTTTGGGGAGATTTCTCCATAGTTTTTTTTGTCTTTCGTTCTCCAGACTTTTTCATTATTCACCAATTTTCTTACTGCTTTCTGTACACTCGAGTACAGTGTGAGACAAAAAAAAAAACCCTAGTGAAAGGGAGAGCAATAATCAGACTCTTCTACGCTCAAATCATGTCTTTTACTGTGTACTGCAGATCTTGTGTTACATAAGAAAGTGAGCGCTGCTGGAGGAGACCAGAACACCCATCTCTTCTAGCATTCTGTTGAATGTATTCAACACCAAAGAGATGCTGCTTTGAAGCCTATAAGCAGGACTTTATCATTATTCATAGGCAATAATAGGTCTAATGCAGTGTTTCTCATCCTGGCTGGGGAATTCTTTAAACTGACACACATCTTAAGGTTGCTGATGTTGAGAAACACTGATCTAACATGTTTTCTGCACAGAAAGGTGGTAAGTATAATATTGTTCTCTAGCACTGCCCCCTTTTAAACTGAATCTTTCTTCCCTTCTTATTTGTGGTATACCTGTTTGGGCAAATTATCCAAGCTTAAAATTTCCCTTTAAGATTATTATTATTTATAGACCTCTGTCTTGGTCCTGTTAGATCTCTCAGCGGCTTTTGATACCATCGACCATGGTATCATGCTGCACCTGTTGGAAGAGTTAGGGGTGGGAGGCACTGTGTTGCGATGGTTCTCCTCCTTTCTCTCTGACCGGTCACAGTCTGTGTTGACGGGGACAGAGGTCGACCCCGAGGCCCCTCATATGTGGGGTGCCGCAAGGGTCGGTCCTCTCGCCTCTCCTGTTCAACATTTATGTGAAGCCGCTGGGCGAGATCATCCGTGGTTTCAGGGTGGAGTACCATCAGTATGCTGACGACACCCAGCTGTACATCTCCACCCCGGATCACCCCAACGATGCCCTTGAAGTGATGTCCCGGTGCCTGGAGGCCGTACGGATCTGGATGGGGAGGAACAGGCTCAGGCTCAACCCATCCAAGACCGAGTGGCTGTGGTTTCCGACGTCCCGATATAGTCAGTTGACGCCATCACTGACTATTGGGGGCGAATCATTGGCCCCCACGGAGAGGGCTCGCAACTTGGGTGTCCTCCTGGATTCACGGCTGTCTTTAGAAGAGCATTGACGGCCGTGACCGGGAGGATTTTTCATCAGGTTCGCCTGATTCGCCAGTTGCGTCCCTTTCTGGATCGGGACTCGTTACGCACGGTCACTCATGCCCTCGTCACCTCCCGCCTGGACTATTGCAACGCTCTCTACATGGGGCTCCCCTTGAGGAGCACCCGGAGGCTCCAACTGGCGCAGAGTGCGGCCGCGCGGGTGGTAATTGGAACGACATGGCGCTCCCATGTAACACCTCTCCTGCGCGAGCTGCACTGGCTCCCGGTGGTCTTCCGGGTGCGCTTCAAGGTTTTGGTTACCACTTTTAAAGCGCTCCATGGCTTAGGACCTGGTTATCTACGGGACCGCCTACTACCACCAATAGCCTCCCACCAGCCAGTACGCTCTCATAGAGAGGGACTCCTCCGGGTGCCGTCAGCCAAACAATGTAGGCTGGTGACCCCCAGGGGGAGAGCCTTCTCTGTGGGGGCACCTACTATCTGGAATGAGCTCCCCCCAGAGATACGGAGGATCCCGGATCTGCACACCTTCC